TTTTAAATGGGTCCCAGTCTTGCAGTGCGTGCATTTATTCCATCATTTATTCTCCAAGCTCACTTAGAAAAATAAAAAGAGAATAAAGCTCTTCTCCAGGAGCGGCACTTTCAGACTTGCTAATTACAGCCCCGTAATTGAGCTAAATCCCCATGAGAGCCCCAGGGCACGTCTCAGGCCACGCTGAAATCACCGATGCAGGAGGCAGGCACCCGGGGGACGCGGCGCACATCCCCACCCCTCCCCTCTACCTGGGCTGCGCGTTCCTCATGTGGTCTCCGTGCACGGCTTGGCCGCCTCGTAGGTCTTCCAGTAGAAGAGAACCGCACACATGGGACAGCCAGAACGCCGCGCGTTCTGTAGGAGTAGGAAACCTGCCGGCTGCCCGGACGGCGCTCCTGCTTAGAGCACGGGGAGGCGGCGCCGCCGTTCCCGCCCCCGCGGCAGCCTCTGAGGAGAGCGATCCGCCCTCGGCTCCTCGCTGCCCTGAGGGGCTGCGGGACGCCCCTCTCCTCACAGCCCGGCCCCTCCCGCAGCGATGGGGGTGGTTTTGGTACCGCAGGTACCCCGCGTCCGAAATCCTGAAGTCCTTTATAACTCCGAACATTCGCTTCCGTCCCGTTTCCCCATATTTTCGGTGCAGTTGCAGTGGAAGTTACTCGCAAAACACAACACAGGCTCCTTTCTCGTCGCTGAGCTACTAGCTGCTGCCGACGGCTCCCTAACGCTGTTCGCAGTGGAAACAGGGTGAGAGAAGATCAATGAAGAACGTTTCCTTGCAAATACGAAGCTCTCACTCCTGCATCATCTCCCTGCTCCCCAGATGAGCAGCACCTGAAACAATCAGGCGGCGGTGAGCGTTGTCAGCCTGCGACTGCTTCACGGCTGCCTTCCCATGCTTTTTGCGTCATTCCTTTCTAATTTGTGTCTGCTTTTGTTCATTACGACTGTAATTAATGCTGCTTCTTAAATGCCAGCTAAAGAATCTTCAAACAACTCTTTGTTCGTTATGAAAGTCACTCAGAAATAAAGGAAACAAGCAGATAAAAAGGCCCTTTAACTTCTGGGGTGTCCCTCCCCCCCCTCATTTATTACATGCAGTTCATGCATCACACAAAGGCAGTCACTTTCCAGTCCAGCACTGGAATCTCCCACTTTTTCTTCCCCAATGGCTGGAATAACCTAGTTCTATAATACAGAGCTCTGAATAAAGCCTCTAAAGGATTTTTTTTTCTTGATAAATACCCCCATTGCTGACTTGTCCTCTGAGTACAAAGGCTGACTGCTCCTCTAAGATTGTGCTATGGCAACACGTTGCAGAATCTCAGGAACAGGGTATGATATGAGAAAGCTGAGAGGGAACTTTAAAAAAAAAAACAGTAGACTTACAGGTATGTATGTATTCCAAATAACAGAAAACAAATGCTACATAAAAGAGCAAGAATAAAAATCACACCACAAGAGAGAAAAATCAAAAATACTTTTTTTTTCTTCTAGTAAAACTACAGGACCACAGAGTTTGAATTTCTGTATAGTTACAGTATTGCAATAACTATGGTGTCTACATCCAGTGAAAGCAACAAATATCCTTTGCCTCACTCTCTGATTCTTTCCAATGGCTTCAGAACCTTCTCTGAGCCAGGAGTGGTAATACATATCCTAAGAAGATAACTCGTGTAATCAACTGCTTCACTGTGCTTGAAGTGAGCAAATATGTAGCTAAGGACTTGGAGACAAGTGATAGAAGTGACAGTAAATACAAAATATCATCATTCTTATTGGATTCTTTAGTGGGCCGGGAAGCCTGGGGAGTAACAAATGCAAACAATGGGAAACAGTCTCAGTGCAGAAATATGTTGTTTCCTTTGTGTTTTTTTTTTCTCACTTTTCTCCGGTGCCATGAAAATGGCTAAGAGAGAGAAGGACTCATGGCGAAGTGGAGTCGAGCAATTTAACAAGTTACAGAATATATTCCCCAGTCCTTATCACTTTACCAAATGCTGCCTTCAAAACTCGCACTTTAGGCTGCTGACATTGAAATTAATCTCCTGTTACAATCTTATCATAATTAAGTTTCACTTTTCTGTCAGCCTGAGTGTTCCAAACACAGCTTAATCCTCCCTGCACCCTCATGTTTCCTGTCCAAAGTCCCTTTTGTATGGTTGTAACAATAAGAAAGCTGGGTTGAAATCAGTCAGTCTGTTTCTGAGATTCAACAACTCATACAAATTCATATGGTCTATTTGAGTGACTTACAGTTTCAGTTATGCATTGTAACATTAAACAATATTACTGAGACTCCATGCTCAAAGCTAACTGCAAACAATTACAGAGGAACTCAGAAAACCACACAATTAAGTATCCTCAGAAGTCAATCAAAATAAAGATGAGCACTTGGAAAAAAATTATGCAAAGTTTTTCAGGGTCTATTTTTCTTCTTTTTATTATTATTTCAGTTATTCAGTTTGAGAAAACACCACCTAATGATAAATAATAGGCTCTTTTCTAGTTACTAGGATTTTAGATTTCTATAACATCCCCTACAAGTTGAATGAACTAACTATCTCATAAGCAGGACAACAATGGAACTAAAACCCGAATACAAGCTGTAGCTTGTCAGTACCCTGCATTTCTTCCACTATGGCCAGAAGCTGGATGTTTCTACTCAAATGTTATTGTATAATTACACGTTGTTCTTTTTACCCATCTTATGAGAGGTTCCATTATTAGCTTGAAAACAAATGATTAGGGTATCTAAAGCATTGTTTGCTCTGATACATGAAGCAAAAAGGTTTATTACTGCCAATACGTGAACATACTTGTTATTAACAGCAGGTATAAGTAGATAATAACCAGTTCTCAAGTGCTTATTGATAATGAAAAACATGTCCTCTGTGTGTGATATTCACCCCAAAACACCTGATTGGCAACACTTTCAGATTGGTCTTGTGCCTGTCTATAACTGAGTAGCATTATGGAATAAGAAACCTGTAACATGACAAGATTTTTCATGATTATGAGCAGTAGCTTGGCAATGGAATTCTCCTTTATGTGCCACTGTTGAGAATTGTCAAAAAGATCTTACAGTTCAAGCAGGACAGTTTTGATCACCCTTTTAAAGTGGTTTAAAGAGTCCAATTTCTTTGTCAAGGTTCTCAGAGAAAGAAGGCAATTTCTCAAGGCGTGCAATATTAGTCCCCAGCCTATCAGTCACTGTTATGAGGCAAGCCTTGAGAGTCTGATGGCTGAGGTCTATTAACTGCTCACAAGATTGATAACAGGCTAAGTTGCAAAGGAAACGTTAGATATCCAATCAGTTTGACAATCTCTTAAACTTCTAGCAATACTGCAGCAGAAGAGACGTTGCTCGATGCACACAGATTTTTAGTCAGAAACTATTTTTCATTTGTAATTCCATAAACAAGGAGAAAGGTAACTGCATCTGCACAGGCCAGGAAGCTGAAGCCCTTCTCTTTCATTACTTAGTCTTAGCTCAGAATGCTTGCTTTGGCTTAATTGGGAAATTACAGTGAGAAATAACAGACTGTGTAGTTGTTTCAGTCTGCACAGTCATCATGCATCCAGAATGCATTAATAAAAAAACTTAATTAGGGTAAGCTGGAGCAATCCAGTATTTTAATCTCCCAGTAGAAATTATTTGAAAATTTCTTTGTATTACAACATACAAGAAAACACAGGAAAAATACCTGGGAGAAGTTGGGCAATCTCATGCCAAATCCATTCTTTCAGTTTTAATGTCAGACTTCAGGAAGTGACAGCATCTCAACACATTGTCTGGAAAGCAGCCTTTTGCTCCCCAAATGGCTAGGAACAACAGAAAAAGGCAGATCTCTGCAAAGTAATTCTTTTCCTACTTCAAGAGCAATAGTAATTCTCATGTACTTCAAGCCCAATCAGTTCTGACTCTACCCATCATCTCAGCTTTTTTCTGTTGCTAAGTAATACTCTGTACTTCATTCACATCACTATTGTGACTCACAAGCATTTCACTCTTCACAGTGGTTTTCTGCAACTTTGCTTATATCTCTTTCCTAAGTAATTAACATTGCCGTTCATCTAATGAGCCCCTCAAAGTTAATCTCACTGTATGTTAATTCCCATACTGTAATTGCAAAGAGCATAGGTGTTGACAGAACTCTTCAACTGTACAATGCTGTACATGTAAAAATGTGGTATTTCTCTTATAAAATGTAGTATCTCTTAAAATGTGTTATTAAGAAACAGACATGGAGAGCTTTCTTAACATCTATTAGTTGTAAATGTTGTTAGCAAAACAAGAATCAAAGACTAGATCTCACTGAGTCAGGCATCATATGCCCAACTATAATTGCTTACCCTACAGTAGGGATTCTTTTGTTTTCATTACAATTCTGGAAGCACGAGACATGCAAACTCTAGTTACAAAAATTTCAGTATTTTGAAGTTCTTAGTAACCAATCAATATAAATAGGCCTTGAAAATTTCTCAAGTAAGGCTAAAAGGGGGAAAAAAGGCAACACTGAGGTCTGAGTGCTGTAAGGACTATTGACATAATGGTCACACTGCTCTTCCCCTTTCCAATGACCTGGTTTCTCCATGGGTAAGACAGACTGCCACTTGTTTCTACTACACTTCAATGCACACATTAACTTAAATCTGACATACTACTTCAAAAGCTCTAAGGGTTCACTTCCTATTGAAATAGCTACTCTTTTTTTTGTATTCAAAGTAGTCCTGGCTTGCCTTTTAGATGACAAAGAATAAAGTAATAAAACTTGTTTTACTGCAATCATGTGGGGCCCTGATTCCTAAACATCCAGACTGAGACAATGTAGTCCTTCCTTGCACCAATGGATTTACCTTTTTCAATACTATCCCCACCACTACCATAGCCTCATAAATTACCTTCTTCTACAAGGGTATAGACCTGAAAATAATGTAAACAAACAAAAAAAGCCCCCAACCCCTCCCAACAACATAAATGGGCAAAGTCCTTCAAATCACGCAATGTGCTTTTCTTAATTTTCTTTGCCTATTCATAAGATAATACACTAGACATTAACAGATTTAAATAGACAAAAGAGGAAAAACAAGTAATTCACTGGAATGTTACTGTTTTATCACAATATTAAAGAAGTAATTCTAAGCATGACTCAGATGTAGTATAAGAGGTTGTTGTTTTGTTTTTTTTTTTTTTAATCTTAGACACTATATTTGCTACTCAGATGCCATGAATTAAAATAACTACAAGCTCAGTCAATTAGATTCAACAACATACAATGAATGATTCTTTTGGAAAAGAACATATTCTTCACCATGTCTGATGGACAACGAATTCTGTACCACTAAGACACCCTGCAATGATCCTTGTGAACAAAAATCCCTTTATTTGCTTACACTTAAAAAATATTTTCAGGCACCTATGAACTGCATTTCTTAGCATACTGAAGTCTCTTGCTATGCAAGTCATCTCACATTGGAATCTGTCCCTGCATTCAGTCTACTCTGACAACTTCCAGGGGTGTAAAAAGGGTATACATACAGCAAATTTGTCTACAAAAAGTTGAAAATATTCTTTCTTTAATAAATCATTGAGTTGAAATAATTACATTCATCCACCTTCCTCTTTACAACAAGTTTGGCTATCTCTCTGTATTCTCTTTTCCAAAGTGTCTTCCTGAAATGAAACATTAAGAAACTCTGAAACAAAAACTTTTCTTTTCCTAAAACATCAGCAGAGAAGTTTAAAATGGAAGTAACTGCCAGACAGTTTCGATCAAGGTAGTCTGCACCAAAGCAAAAAGCCACTGTAATGAATGCACAATTAACGAGAAAACTGTCGATTGTCTGATTTCTTGCTGATGTGTTTGAAGATTTTAGCTTTGTGGACACTCTTTGGTTTCTGGTAACCAAATCCTCCACCTCCACCTCTTTTCTGTAGTCTTCTGCCTTGGTTGCTGTTCACATCTGGAATTTTATGGGTTAAAGAGCATAACAAAAGACTTAATTGAAGTGTTGCTTATTGGGTATTGTGAGCATTATTAAGAAGAGAAAGAAGAATTACACAAAACACACAAAACTGTGTTACGGATGGTCCTATCATTCTACTGAATGCTTTTATTCTTCCAGCTGTCCAACCAATTCAACTGAAGAACCACTGCTTCAACTTCTCTCCCTCCACTGGCACCTTTGACAAGAGGGGCCCATGCACCTCTATTTCAGTACAGGACTCTAGAACATGTATGCAATATTCCAGTACCTACAAGGCTGCAGGAATTGAAGTCCATATCTGTATTAAAGCAGATGTTAGTAAGCAATTATTAAAACTGGCCATTTAACATTTTCTTTGATAAACCATTATTTGGACATGATGCATGTATGTGATTATTAGCAATACTAAATAAAACCCAACAAAGAAAAGAGAATTTGAAATAGCATACTTAAGTTTCATTTAACATTTTTAAAGCAGGAATTCAGCTTTGAAACACAGCAGTAAAAGGATACTGAGGTCAACGTATGGAGGGACTTTAAAGCCAAATGAGAGGCTGACTTTGTTAAGATCCAAGTTACCCACGTTATAGATCTGCTTCAGAGAATGGGAGTCATAAGCTCTAATGTAAGCTTTGTATGCTTCCTGGGCTGACTTGTGAAGGAAGTAGTTCTTCTCAATCAGTTTCTCCAGCTGATGAGAAAAAAAGAGAGAGACATTATGGAATTATGGCTATAACAATAAGTTACATGCAAGCCAATTATTTGCTGTGTGCTCTGCAGTGACATTCACTACTCACTTTAATAAGACTGCACTGTGACAGCAGAGCACAGATATCTACAGGGCTTTTACAACCAGGCACTAAATCCTGAAGCTGAGTTGTAGTACAAACCCTTTAGCAATGAGAAACTTTACAAAAACATCAAATTAGGTTGTCCTAAAGAAACACGTTGAGAGGAGAATCGTATGATTATATGATTCTGTGAGTAAATAACTACAGCCACAGTTATGTGCACTGAGAATTAATGGACAATGACAATATACTGTTAAGTCAGACATCTAAACAGAACCATTCCATGTAATTTTGCTTATAGCTCTATCTAAAATGCTGGAAACTCACTGTAAAATGCACAGTGTTATTTTTAAGACAAAAATGAAGATGCACTAGTGTAGACTGGAGTATTTTATTTGTTGAGGTCTAAGTTCCCAAAGCTTAGATCCGAGTGTCTCATTTGACTGCTAGCACACATTAGTTTGGCAAACTGATGTTAAGTTACATTAGGCATTAGTACTTCCTAACTACTCTTTACAACTAACAGAGGTTCTGTGAGGACTGTCCTCACTGCTGCTGGTATTTACTATGTCAAATTTCAGTTATTACAAAGAAACTTCACACAGCTCTTAAGAAAGTGATTCACAGAACTAAATAAAAATAAAAATTCACATCTACAGAACAATCTATGCTATTCTCTTTTACTTTATGCTCTGTGGTTATTTTCGTTGGATAGAAGCACGTGCCAAGTTTGGCTGACACCAGGCTTCATTAATACCAACTTGATAAAAATATACCTGGAACACATACTGGCATTTTTAGGTGTTGGTACTGGATTTCTTTCTGTATGCTGAAGGCTGAGCAAATTATCTTGTAAAAGATTAGATACAGAGAATTAATCTAAGCATGCATAACCATTCAATAAATGCTACTGGAAACACTGTTTGCTATCTAGACAATATTCTATTCAAAAGCTGAAAGCATATTCACACCACTATGATTTTGCAATGTACTGTGGAAAAAACAACCCTTACAAGCAAATGCATATGGTGCAATACCAGCAATTTAGTACCGGATATTAAAATTCTTCATTTCATACCTGAGACTGGATATCTGAAATCTTTGACCAGGAAAACTCAAATTCACTGAGTGGTACCTTAGAAGAACAAATGAATAAATAGATAATCTAGATTATTTCTATTGTACAAACAATAAGATGTAAGACAAATAAGAACAGACCTGACAGAAATAGAAGACTTTTTTTTTTTTTTTTAAAGTAACACAGCTTTAGATGTCAATGAATCTAAAGTCCAAGGGCATACTTCAAAGTATACCTTACATGTTTTTAGATTTTTGACATCTTCTACTTAAAACAATGACAACAATATTAGTAACCCTTATCAGAAATATATTTACTGAAGTTTCCTCTGCATAAAGAGGCCAGCATTGTATTTCCTTTAAATTAGGGTAATAAAAATACTCTTTATGACCCTTTCACTGCTTTAATTACAAATGACAAAAATCTGGACTGTAAACAACCCCATAAGAAAGCCCCTATGAATCTATGAGGAGTTCTCTCTTATTAAAATGGTTACATCCGAAAGAAGGCTACCCACCTTTTGGAATTGAAAAAAATGCTATTATTTTAATAGAAAAATAAGAACTGCACTGGCCAAGCTCCCAGTATCTTTTCATGAAGAGATCATAAGAAAATTATATTTTAATAATGCACACTGCACAGCTGCAAAGCAACTGTTAATACACGCAGTCACCTTTGAGTCTAAGGGTCAGCAGAACAGAGTCAGATGTTCAGTTACATATTTTAAGTAACAGAGTTACTTATGCTCAGAAATTAAAATGTTTTGTTAATCATACAGCTTTTTGTCTTTAAAATCGTGACTGCACAGTAAAAACAAAAAACAAAAGAATTCTACATGTAAGTTTACCCTGGCTTGTTTCAGGTAACGAAGAAAGCCCAGTTCTTCTGGACGTAAAATGAGCAGAGCATGTCCTCTACCATTTATACCTCTGGCAGTTCTACCAACACGATGAATATACTCCTTTTGCAGAGAGAAGAAAAAACAGTTAAGTCCAGGCAGTCTTTCATATAAACAGCAATACAGTTTTATGGAAAAAACATTTAACATTAACAGTGTCATGCAAAGTTTTGCTTTAAAACTTTAGCACTGACATACAGATGAGGCAAACCAAGTGCTGATGAAGCAAAGCACATAAGTAGTTGAGACAGAAATCCCTGATCAGAAGCATCTTACCTTCCACTGAAGAAAAAAGAACCTTAGCCTAATGCCACTGAAAATTTAACTTTGCTTTACTTGCTATGTTTGTCAAGGTATCTAAGTTTAAAGTCTTTCTTGTTTGGACATTTTTCTCAAATGAGAATTCTAATTTTTAAATAATTGAGCTTTTTATTGGAAAAGCTATTATGAGACTCAAACATACATATATAAATTCATACTTCTAGGAAGTATTTTTTTGTTTAGCTGATTAGATTTTAAATTACTTTGTACCATAGAGTTATGTTTTATATTTCTTCACTAGCTGCAGCACTTCCCAGGATCTGGTGATTAGTGGATGAGATCAGGTGCTAGATGTGAACACGACTGATTTCTGACCTCTGTTGAGTAGAAGATTCAGGTTCTCTCTGCAGCAACACTCGCAACTAGGATTTGAAGGTATTTTTTTTTCCATAACTTACTTTTGGATCATCTGGAGGGTCATACTGGACAATCCAGTCCACCTCAGGAATATCTAATCCTCTGGCAGCTACATCAGTGCACAACAGGATTCCAGATTCTGCATTACAGAACTGGAAAAATGTCGTAGTACGTTTCGTTTGTTTCTGCTTGCCCTAAAATCAAAAAAACATCAAACAAAACAAGAAAATAACCCAAAGAACACATACATTAAGGATGTCCACTAAAAGAAATCTTGCCAGTTTATAAACTTAAATGTAATTCCTCATTTCACAGATTATATCGCTGCCAAAAAATATAAAATAGTTTAGGGCATCTTTCTATCTTGTGGATTTGCACAGACCAAGCAGAACCATTTCATAGTGAAGAAGCAATGCTATCACAGTAAACTGGTACTCTCAGAAGTTACACTGTATACTTAAGGCATTAAAATCTCAATTTACCTAAGTGTTACTTTCAGAGGGACTGCATAAAATCCTGATGTTTAGAAACAGGCATTACTAGATTCATTAAAAATAAATCAACACATAAAAATACTTACATGAATAGCCAAAACAGGCAAGTCAATGTAGTTGAGTAATTCATAGTGGTACTTCACTGACATACACGAAGAGAAAAATACCATTAGTTTCTTCTTCCGGTTCTTCTTCAGGAACGTGAAGAGCAAAAGGAATCTTTTCTCAGATGGACACACTACATAGCCCTGGAAATTATTTAAATATTGTTAAATTAAACAGTACAGAACACACTTTTTGCAGGGGACTATTGGCAAAAGAGTTAATTTTCCAGCTACACAGAATGAAGCCATCTGATTTACTGTCTGTTTCTCACTTTGTTATATGAAAGTTATATGAAAGTCCTTCAATACTGATGACAGCAAAAACTTAGTCTACATACTACAAAAGAATTTTATTGAATTCTTGCTACTAGTTTACTCTTTAAAGGTAATATCTACCTACTGGTATTATAAAACAATTATCTTATTAACTGCACAAACCCAGAAACTAACTCCATTTAGCCATCATCTTAAATAGAAAAAATAAAATCTCAAGTGTTCTCTAGTCAGTAACACAGTGCTTATGTACATAATACAGTCAGGTATGTAATACAGACAGTAGTTGAAAGTGTAACTAAACTATATTATTACTTCATGAATTTTTTTACATAACTTTTAGACAGCAGAGTGAATAAAACCCTTTTGGTAACTGTTAACTTTTGCCGATTAGGATGTTAAGCACTTCAAGGGATGGGCATTTATACAAACCATCTAAAAAGAATGTAGGGCCTGTTGGTTTTTCCTCAGACCATACCTCTTTAAGTAACACTTATGTTTTACCTGTTCAAGACCATCTACTGTTGCTGTCTCCTTGTTATCATCAACTCCTACATATAGTGGCTCCTTTTTCAGAGAGATCTTGGCTAGATCTTCCACCTTCCTGGTTTGCGTAGCAGAAAACAGCATCGTCTGTCTGCGCTCTGAAGATGGTTTATAAGAATGCTTAATTTTTTAAAGGAGAATTCAAATAGCAAATACTTAAAATCTTTAGTTGCAAACTCCCTTGTAACAATTCTTCACCTTCTTTCCATTAATTTAAAATATACTGCTACTGATAAACAAAGGCAGGTATAGTTAAATTGTGTACTGCGTTGCACAATATTTACTTTGGCTGCCACCATCTCCAAAATCTTAATGCACTTCAGCTTTGCTAAACTTTTCTTAGACAATCCATAACATACATATTTTTGAATGTTTGGCATGTGGCTGTGCATCTTCAATGGGTCTTCAAGCAGGTGTACTCAACCAACTGTCTGCCTATCATATCATCCCAGAATATATAGCCCGATACTGCAACATTTTCTTTTTACAAGAGTGCAGCAAAAATGCACTTAGCCTATTCAATTTTACAGCTACAGGAACAGCACCAATTGGTCTCGTGGAATAACTGGTGCCACCATTTTCAGAAATCTTTTGTTATTTTGAGTGTTTTAAAATAAATTCCTTCTCAGGGAAGGAAATCGAACTAAAATCAAGCAAGATTGAAATCTTTCATCTACCACTTCCCAAAGTCATTTTCCCCATTCTTTCTTCACTTAGTTTTAGTGCTGATCATTTGCATTCTTCTTAGGACATTAGTTACAAAGAATATAAAGAAAAGAAGTAGGGCATTCATCTCTCCAGAACAATACCTTAAAAAAATCCAACTGCATAAATAGATCTTTTTCTTATTACTTCCTTAATTAAGTCTAATTAGGAAATAATGAATAGCAGAAAAAAAAAACAAGAAACATGAATGAGATACTGTACGCATTAAGCTAAAATGTTTTTATATGAACCAAATCATATTCCTAGAGTGCATAAGGACACAAAAAACCATGTCCTTCACATAAACGATGCTAAACAATATATGTTGGCTACTGGAAAAAACAGAGTTAAGACAGATACTCTAAGGTGCATTTACAGAACTATAAAAATTAATGACTTCTCTTACAATAATTCAGTTATAAAGACGACATAACGTTAGTCAAGTAATTTCCAGGAAAGACAGTTTTTTTTTCTCCTTACTTGGTAGAAGTTTTATGATCTGTTTCATTTCTTCTTCAAATCCAACCTCTAAGATTCGATCTGCCTCATCAATCACCAAACACTGCAAGTTCTTGTACATGAAACCTGGAGTGTTCTAGAAGAGTAACTTGAGAGTCAGATGGGGACAAGGGTTTTATTACCTTCTATAAAAGTAAAAGGCACTGTTATTTTTGTATACCTGCATATGATCCAGAAGTCTTCCTGGTGTTGCTACAATTATGTTGATTCCATTTCCAAGTTTCTGAGCTTCTGCTGACCTGTTACTGCCCCCCATGATCAGACCATAGGTGTGAACATGATGATTCATAAGTTCTTTAAGAACTCCATAGGTTTGCATGGCAAGTTCTCGAGTAGGTGAAAGAATAATAACACCTGTCCCTAAAACACACATCAATTGACCCAGGTTAAGTTACAGTTCCTCCAGTCCCTTTCACAGTCACATCCTTAAGATCCGGGTCACTACAAAATGAAGGAAATCCTTACCATTTCTAGGCATGAATTTTAACTTGTAGATGAGCTCTACTGCAGGAATGAGAAATGCAAGTGTTTTGCCACTGCCTGTTTTGGCAGCTGCTAAAATATCCCTGCAAAAAGCAAAGTTAGAAAAAGAAGTGTTAAGGTCATCCTACAGAGAAAAAAATAAATCCTATTCCGAATGATGTTGACTACGTGAAAACGTAACATGGTTTTAATCTAACTAAAATTAAGACCCGTGACAGATACGGTTCACAGCTTGGTCTCTTATTTTTCCCAAGTCTCTACGAGATACACTGATACAAGAGACTAATGAAAACAGACTCTACTGCTTTCAAAACCAAATGCAAAGCAATTTCCATTAACTTACTGTAATAATTGGAAAGATCAACACAATGGAAAGGTAATATAAAAGGTGCAATAACACAGGGACTAACGCAATACAAAAATGTTATAAGGGAAGGAAAAAGGACTGCTCAACCATCTCCAAAGACCTAGCCTCACAGTGGAAAACTTCACCAAAGACAGATCTCCAGAAGGAGATCCTTCCCCAGTGGCAGTCAGCCCTTAAATGAGGTCTAAGAGAGGTGCAGCCAGGCTCCACCCCTTCCAGTCACACACATCAACTGCTTTCACCTGTGCTCCCAGGGCTGACTGGGTCCTTTCCCCAGGTGCTCAATCAGTGGTTCAGACCGTGACTCAATAGTTCCCATACAACTTACCCTAAGTATTTGTTCACACATAACATACATACTTCATTAATTTGTATTTACTGAAATATTTAAAATACAAAATAATGTTTTGAAAAGAGCATAGCTCCAAGAAGTTACATTTCTTGTACCTAATTTGTTACTAACATTTACCCAACATTTGAGGTCAGTATAGCAATTAAAAAGATATTTTTCTTACCTGCCTTCCAAAAGAGGTTTAATACTTTTATGCTGAATTTCTGTCATGTGTGTAAAGCCCATATCACTGATGCCTTTCAATGTATTCTCACTTACAAGACCAGCAAGGGAAGTAAAAGAATTGTCTTCGAAGGCACCTGAAGGGAGAAAGGGAGAAAAACATTCACTTACTTCAACTCCGTCCATCCCAAGACTGCCCAGTAAGAAATTTATCTTACAAACAACTTCTTACAATTCCTTCCAACTGTAAAATTTTAAGATGTTAAAAAAAAATACTCTGCATTAATGTATTCCTAGGGATACCACAGAGACCTGTTAAAAATGAACAAGTAGACTGCTTCTCATGCCAATTAGCAATACAACTCTATTTAACTGATCCTTTTTCCCCATATTTAAATAATGTGTGCAGGTACATTTCAAAACTGTTTTTCAAAAGTAACTTTAAGACCAAAAGCCACGTACATATAATGCAAACTTCAAAGAACAGTAACTGAATTACAACACTGCAGGTGCCAATATCACATCACCTATATTCAAACACCAGGTTTTTAATGCAAATTTGAGAACTGGCTCTGGAAGAAAGCCTAAGAACTGGGATTTTTGTATACCTACGAAAAAAGAAAACACGATATACCTGTTAGACCCAGAGGTAAACTGGGCACTTCATCCTCCTCTTCTGCTTCTTTCTCTCCAGAATCCTGCCCGTCTTCACCTTCTGCCTCCACAGGTACGTCTTCTTCAGCTTTTGCTTTCTTAGTCTCTGTGCCTAGGACAGATTTTACAGAAGACAAGCCATTCTCAGTGAGGGTTACCAGAAATATGTTTGTCATCCAAAGCTGTGCTGCAGACTGGCCTTCTTTACCCTGTAAATCATTTCTACAGACATCGTGCGGTGGGAGGGGTGAGGAGAAGGGGAGTCAAAGTTTCTGTGGAGCTTTCAGATGCAGACAGCACAAACGTACGTTCCAAACGTACCTCCCTCGGGGCCAGCCGCAGCTTTCCTCTTCTTTTTCTTCTTCTTCTTGGCCCCAGAGGCCTCAAGGCTCGGCGCTGCCTGCTCACCCGCCTCTGCCTCCGCCTCGGGGGCCGCCGCCTCCTTCACCTCCTCGTCCTCCTCCGGGGAGCCCAGCGAGGCCCGGCCTGCGCACGGAGTGGGAAGATGAACAAGAGCCGTCAGCCGCGGCGCTCAGAGGCTCCGGGACCGCCCGCCCGCCCCGGCCCCGCCGTACCTTCCTGCTCGGCAGCTCGCAACTTCAGATTGCGCTGCCGCAGCTTCAGGTTCCTCTTGTGGATCTTCTTGCGGAGCAGCCGCATGGGCAGGTTGCCCGCGGCCACCGACACCGACATCCCGGCTGCGCGCCTCCCTCAATCACACGTGGGGACGGCGGCCCCGGCCCGGCGACGCGCATCCGGGTCGCGCCGGAACCTCGCCGCTCGGCTGGCGCCCCGCAGTGGCGCGGCGGAGGCAGTGCAGGGCTCACGGCTCAGCCCGACCGTGCTATCGAATGGACTACTGGACTACCCGTGCAACGTGCCGGCGCCAGGGCATGGCTTCTTAGAGCTTTGTTCCCAGCTGCTCCTCAGCTCAGCGAGAGGCAGGATAGCCTTTCCTCCTCGTGCCGTCTTTCTTGCCTCTTCATCCCCATCCAGAGCGGTTCCTGCAGCCTCCTTTAGATCTCTCTTGCCCAGCAGGTGGCACAAACGGCACAGGAATATACAGCAACTTGGTTTCTTAAACCAAGAAATGCAGTGCTCTGGAAATCGGAATTGCTACGAATTGGGTAACGCTCAGCCTACAATTACCTGCTGCAAGGCACATCAAGCTCAGAATTACAGCTCTACTACTCCTTCAAAGTGCTTATTGCATATATATATATATATTTTTAAGAAAGATACACCAAAAATGAAACAAAATTCATTTATAGAATCATAGAACCATTAAGGTTAGAAGAGACCTCTAAGATCATCAGACCTCTAAGATCATCAGCCCCAACCCACACCACGCCCACTAACTACATCCTCCAGTGACACATCTCCATGATTCTTGAACACCTCCATGGATGGATGATGACTCTGCCACATCCCTGGGCAGCTTGTGCCACTGCATCGCCACGCTTTTGGAGAACTTGTTCCTAATCTCCAAGTTGAGCCTCTTGTCGTGCCTCTGGTCTTGGTGAAGAGCAAAGGGGGAATGGCAGCCCCTGAAGGGCTCTGCATTGCCCCCAGAGCTGCTGATGTCCAGACCTCCTAGCAGCAGTGCTGCCTCTGTTGTCCCCACATGGTCCATGTTGGACCATATAACTCACAGGAGAGGAGGAGAGAAGCTGCAGAGCAGCCAAGGAGCATCAAAATTAACTGTTGGCCCCATCTCCAAATCCAGCCATGTGCCTCAGAATGAAATCCTCCAGCATCTCTGTATGCTGTCTTGTTTTTCATCATCTGTAATTGTTGGTGTGCAGCTTTCACACACATTACTCAGATAAGACTTTTTCTGCCAGAATTTCAAACTGATGAAAGATATATAACATTTTAAAATTTCTTTCATTTATTAATAATATACTGCAGTGGAAATGCTAGGTCACTGCCTGAACCAGTTATTGAGCATCTGGTGGGAAGACAGGGCCAACCCAGAGGAGCTCAGGTGCACACAATGTAACCTGAGTGATCAGAAGGGGTGGAGCCAGGATCCATCCCTTCCCAGACCTCATTTAAGGGCTGGCAGTGGAGGTGAGGGTATTTTCTGGGAGGTCTCTCCATACTTGAGGCCTTCTGAAGTTAAGTAGTGTCTTTTCTTTATTTCTGTGCCTACTGCTGTTGTGTTTGTGCAAGTCCTCACTTGCTGCAGCCTGAGACCGTGCTACTCCATTCATCCAGTCATTGCTGTACTTTCCATTGCATTATATATACATACATTCAAATTAGCAATAGTTATTAGACCTGTACAAGAGAAAGACAGGAGATGCCACTGTTCTTCAACGGTCATAAGAAATTAAGACAATTCCAAAAAATATTGTTGTTTATGAAAAGCATATGGAAAGAGGAGGAAGAATTGACACTGAAGATAATTTAATCTCAGAAGGTATTACAGGAGCAAGAAAAGATGTCCCTATTTGTACATCACTGAAATAATACTGAACCAAATTGATATTGTAACACCTTTATGCTTTATACTTGAAAATGGAACCTTGCAGGTGAACAAAGGCTTCACAAGAAACAAAGAAACAAAACTACCAATATTTTGTTTTTCAGTTTCAACAGAAACTGAAACAACAGATCCCCTTGGCTAATTCTCTCTGTAAGTTATTTTCTTTCCCAGGCTCTCATTAAGCAATGCTGAAGAGTAACCTGGACTCCAGGACACCCTATAGCAGCACATTTTTGCTGTTTTATTCCATCTCGCACTTAATTACCTTCAGAACTCTCCCTATTTCATAAATGCAAGTAGTTGCTGTGGGGCAGAATGCGTTGCACCTCACTTGCAGCAGACTTCACGGGCTTTCACTGCAAACATTCTCGGCAGTTTGAAAAGCATAGCCTCTAGCTCAGCTGTTGAGCTGCTCTGCTTACAGATGCAACACAAGCTGTGAAGTAAAAAAGGTGACCAGGTCCAAACTGGCCACTGGCTTATTAAATTATGAGGATATCTGTGTGAAAGCACATCAGTCTCCATCAGATGTGTTTTGAAAATAAATTGAGCCATCCTCGCTCATCAAGAAAGGCTCTTAGTACAAAACTCTAGGGAAAGTCATGTCAAGGCTGAATTTTAAGCAGCTTCTTGCTGCAAGTCAGTGTAGTTTAGGTTCTGGAAATATATTTCCATATTTCCTCCCTGTCTACCTTACATTGTGCCTACAGAATATACTTTTAATTAGTTAAATATTTGTTCTTCCTGTACTATGCTGATTTATAGTTACACAGTTAGATTCACTATTTGGATCCTTCCAAAATATGCTCATTGTACAAATAGAGTGAATTAAAAATCTGGGCAGGAGAGAGCTGACACCAATACTTACACTGAGGGCAGAGAAAATTACCTCCTTCAAGAACAGAATGATCCACGTGTTCCTATCTCAGCCAGCACTGCCAGGGTCATCACCATTTAGCTTTCATCCACATCACCACACTCTCAGATCTGCCAAAATTTGGGACCTGGAAAACCCGTTCTGTTAAAACCATGTATGGGGAACTCGTCTCAGTGTCCCCACTGGGTGCAGGCTGACTTGGCAAGAGTTTGTGAAAGTGCATTAGTGTGGCACAAGGCCCAAACTGACAAATGCTTCAGAGAGCTATGTTACATCCCTCTGAGCAGGATATATGGGATGTACACCAATCATATGTCAACACAACTTCACAAATTTACTTTTGTTGGCAGGGAGCAGAAGGAAAACTTTGATGCATTTGCAGAGGAATGATAGTTTTGCATCTGTGTAGACAGATATCGTGGCATTATGTATGGGAGATGGGACTTTGGAAATTAGATTCCATTAGGTGGCTACGTATCTTGTGCTCCAACACAGCATTGTCCCCATATCTTGTAAAAGATATTGCTTTGAGTTTATTATACTTCACTAGAGAGTTCAAAACATGTTTTGAGCTCTATCCTTCTTCTTTAAGCAGAAACTGTGGAAAATCACAAAAAAAGTCAGAAGGCAATAATGTACATTTCTTAGTGACAAGTCCAGACAATACTTGAAATGATTAATTTCTTTTACTATTCTCTGAAGTTTGGCATTTCCTAGATTTAGCATGAATTCCCTGTGGTACGTAAGTTTCATTTATGCCCAATAGGTTCATTAATAACTGCTTGACTTACCACGCAGTCCTTACTAACAATAGGAATTTTTTAAATGATTATTGAGTTGCTGTCAGAACATATCAGATTTTCTATGTGATCTTGCAGGCAGAATTGTAGGAGATCATGTTTTGTTTACCTAAGCTTTGTGAAGCTGAAGAACTCCAAATTAGAAACTGAATCTGGAGACAAATGTTTTCAGTATCCTAGTGTGTTGTCAATGGCACTGTTTTGAAGCCAGATTTGGAATGTTTGTTCTCATTTACTCTTAAGTTACTTATGCTAGTTGAAAGTGCAACATGAAAGTAATCATTGAGTTCAGCTGTATCATTTCATATAAATCATCATGATGTATGTGAAAAGTATTAGTCTCATGCAGAAAAGATCACAAAAGAAAAGCACATAATTCTTACTGCTTAAATATGGCAAACAGGGTCAGTTTTCAAAAATATCTCTGAAAAGAATCTTTTTTTTTATAGTTGGCTATGGAAAAAACCATCAGCAATAGCATTTGTGAACACCTGCACCATTAAGCTAGAAGAGTTGAATTAGAAAATCAGTTCTTCTATGTTCTGCACCCTCAAAATGGAAAACCTTTCAGAACCATTGTTTCATTTTTACAGATGATAGTTTCTGCTCTTAGACCAAATTTATCTTTCAAACTAGTAAGTTCCAGATAGGCACTGAGTTTAAAAATCAAGTATCATAAAGACAGGTAGAAAGCTGTATTTTCTGCAAATGTGTCTGTTATGCATGAAAGTCTGTATATGCATGCAAGTGTGTTTGCAGAAATTATTGGTTACCCACTTAATCGACACATGTAATTCTAAAACCTGAACTTTGGAAAAGTCACCCACTGGAGCTAATCTAAATTGTTTTGATAGAGGTATATCGGGGTATATAAAGATGTGTTACATAAGAAATAGATGACATGATTAACAGAATAGTACTGTGAACTTGAAAATTGCTGGTTAGAGATTTCTAGTGCAAACTGCATTTCAGTAAGTTATCATTGAATATCACTGAATACTGAATTTGTGAGGAATTTAAAACACATCTTTGAATTTAAGGCAGAATTAGCGTATCTGTGTTCATAAAAAGCAGACCAGGCTGTCAAGTAACCATTTATTTATTTATTTTTAGGATTTTAGTTTAGTATTGCTTCCAAATAATGTCTCTCTCATGGGTCACATATGGAGTTATTGTCTCAGTTTTAACTGACATCACCAGCACTGTGTAGCATGAACCATACAATTGGGTCCATAGCAAATTTGAGGTTTTTTTTTTAATAGGAAATTTCTCATTTACCCATATTTTAAAACTTGAGCTATGCTGTGCATCAATTGTAAATGCAGACTGACACAGCCCTGAATATGTTCCAAACCAGAACTTACAGTGAGAGTAAAAAATGGAGACAGATTGGATTGTATTTCATAAAATATCTTGTAGATTTTTGCATAGCTCTCATGGATTTACTGGAACTTAAAACTGCTCAAGCACTTCTGAGAAGCAGTTTGATATTTCAGAATGTTAGGCTAGAATGATTAGTGTTATTAGTTGATTAAAAGGAAGACAGTATTTTAGAGTTGGAGTAACATGGATCACACAAAGATGAGGAACTGAAATAATTCTAATGAATTTTTTTTTCCATACATAGAAGATTAAGGTCTAGCCTCAACCTTGCAGATCTTAGCATGGCTGAGCGTGGAATCCTGCTGTCTCACATGATCTGGATGACAGAAGTCCAGGTTACTGTGCTGGTCTGGGCCCTTCCTGAAGTGATACACCCAACTGATAACAGCCACCAGCTGTATGTCTACCTATTTTAACCTTAATTATTGGAAATCCACAGAATCTGTTCCCTCTTGTCTCCTCTTCCAGCAAGGAAAGCCAGACTCAGAGATAAGCAATTTGCAGGTAATACCTATGTGTATTTGTTATTTTCTGTGCATCATCAACTCTACTGCAGCTAATTGTGTGATATGACCTTAATTAAAAAGAGGCAAGCTAGCCTACATGATGTTTCTGGGTAAAAAACACCTTCAGTGCTTGGGAAACATTACCTTGCATTAAAAGCTGTAAGTTCTTCCCTGCGCTAACAGGATTCATGCATTAGCTTCCCCCAGAAACTTAAGCTAATGTCAATATTTTGGATTTCTTCTCTAAAATACACCACGACTAAAGCTCAGCTTCTTTAAAACATCACTTAAACCTCTGAAACAAAGGAAGCAGTTAGAAACATAGAATCTCAGAGCAGCTAGTGTGGAAAGTACCTCTAGAAACTGCCTTTTCTAAACCACCTACTATAACAATCTTAAAGATCAATGTGATGGAATGATGATACAGAAGTGTAATCATAAAGAGACTAACACACACACACAAAAAATACTATAAGGGGGAAAAAAAAAAAAAAAGAAGACTGCTCACCAATCTCTGAAGATATAGGCTCACAGGCAAAAACTCCACAAAAGAGGGATGCCCAGAAAAAGAGCCTTACCCTATGGCAGTCAGCCCTTAAATGAGGTCTAAGAGAGATGGAGCCAGGCTGCACCCCTTCCCATCACACACATGAATTGCCTTCACCTGTGCTCCCAGAGCTGACAGGTCCTTTCCCCAGGTGCTCAATCAGTGGTTCAGGCTGTGACTGAAGAGTTACCATACACCTGCTCAAGTAGGATCAGTTAGAGCAGATTGCTTGGCTCTCTGTCCTGTCAGTTTTCTAATATTTCCATGGATGGAGATGTACAGCCTATTGGGTCAACATATTTCAATGCTTGACCACTCTTGCAGTGAAAAAGCTTTTTTTCTGCATTTACGTGGAATTTGCTGCTTTTCACCTTGTGTTCATTGCCTCTTGTTCTGTCACTGAGGAGTACTGAGAAGAGTCTGACTTCATCATCTTTACTTTTTCTCATTGAGTATTTATACACACATTAAGCGTTGATAAGTAGACTCTTTTGCACATGGCAGTGCAAAAACATATTTTCATTTTTTGTAGGTAGCCACTTTTAATAACATAGCTTTTAAACTCATTATATTGCTTCTCATATATGAAGATCTATTATTTTTTAGCACTTTCTGCTTAAAAAAACCCCCACTCATTGAAGGCTCTTCAAATACTGCAAAGGCTACAAGCAGGATCAGAGGATTTATTAACAAACATCAAAATGCAGTTGTAGCCACTGGTTTATAGCTTACAGAATGACAGTTTTATATCTTTAAAACAATTCTTTCCTCGGGTATAAAGTACTTTCCTTCTATGCTGCCCTTGTTAATGTGAAGAGTCTTAGTAAAAATTTAACTTTCAGAAGGGATGGTGTGCCTTTTACATTACTTCATCTTCTACATATATACATAGGGTCAGCCAAGATTCTTTGCAACTATCTTGAAGATAAAATTTGAGTTGGTGAGATAGATCTCAGGACATTCCGGGTGCTTGGCAGCTGGATGGAGATATGGCATTTTATCGTGCAAAGAACAAAAGATATCACCCTGTGTGTGAGATTTCTTCACACAAAAATATCATTAGCTGAAGAGGAAGGGGAATGAAGGATTGAGGTTATTTTTTTTTACAAGGTGATCATCACATTCCTTCACTTATAGGAAATCTAAATTGGTAAAATCATTCAACTAATACAGAACACTATTTCAGATCAACCAAAAAATCCACAAATCACTGAATGTTTCTAATTCAATGCTATCATGCCATTTATGACTTCCTTTGTTAGTTTTTACTTTAGAGTAGGTTCCTGAAATTTGAAATACAATTTTACTTCACTGACCAGTAACCCTATGTTTATTGTACCTGTTAGTGAAAAAGATGATGGAAAAGAGTACAGTATTTTTGAGCTATCTGATTAATGTTCATACATTGTATTCTATAAGGTTACAGAAAGAGGCAATGGCATGTCCTTAGAATCTGTGTAAGCTGCTTTTACTTTTAAGACCATTTCAGATTCCCATTTGTATGGAACTGTTGAGTCACAGCCTGAACCGCACATTGAGCTTCTGGGGAAAGGACCTGGTCAGCCCTGGGAGCACAGCTGCAGGCAATTCACCTGTACTACCAGAAAGAGAGGCTGCAGCTGCTCTCTTAGACCTCATTTTTAAGGGTTGACTGAGACTGGGAAGGGGTTTCTTTCTGGAGATCCTTCTTTGGTGAATCTTTCTCCTCGAGACCTAGCATCCTCTGATACAGCTGAGTAGTCTTCTTTCCTTCCTTTATAGCACAATTCTATTGTTATAGTCCTTCTGTTATCACACCTTTACTGTGATGCTTTTTCCACATATTGATTTGTCAAATTGCTATATCGTTAAAAGGAGTTTTTATGTTTCTGAGCTTGAGAATATTTAGTTCATAGTCTATTATGTAATACTGTACTTTTAAATTGAAACTCTGTAGGAGCTAGAACAGTCAGCGCTTCACAAGAGAATGCTTGTATTATGAAGATGAGAGTTTTTATGGTCCAAACCTTTATAGACTGTGTCAGGCTGTGATAGTTACAATTATTGCACGTGTTGATTTAACCTATACAGTGTAGTCATAATACATTAGCCTTTCTAACTTTCCCTTGCCTGTCCTCTATTATCAGTGACATTTTCCTTTAAAGGTTCAGAGCAAGCGTGACTTTATGATCACTTCTAAGCTTTAACTAAATCTATTTTATTATTTGTTTCTATGGAATGCTGTTATTGAAGAAACCAGAAGATGGCAATCTTTCTTAACACACTGGAGCTAAATTCTACTGGCAATTACAGTTTCTGCTCTTGTACCTCCAATCAGCCAAAAAATGTGAGAAGAAATGAAGAGCTTCATCTTTTGTCTTTCCAGCACAAGTTATTGTGCCCATGATCTCTCTGGTATCTTCCAGTGCCTGTTCTTCTGGGCATCAGATCTTGAAAAGTCAAATAAATCCTGGTGTGTTTATGATCTGCAGACTGGCTTTGGTGCAGCCTGAAGGTGTTACCTTCCTGTTTGAGTATACTTGAACTACAGTTATTTCTTCTCTCTTAACACTGTTAGGTCAAGTCAGTCCCCTTGGTAAAACTCTTATGTTATTTCAGAGGTAATTGTCTTAAGGAAAAATAACACACCATAGCTCATGTGTTATTAATCTGCATATTTATTCTCCTGGACAGTGTTGTAACAGATCTCACTGTCATCTTTGTGTTTAGAGGTACTCAAAGTGTTTTCTGCAGCTCTGTTTGATGCATGTTACTCTGTGTCTTGCCATTGCTTTCTTGAGCTTTCATGCCTGTGACGTACTGGAGAGAACTGGTTCTTACAGTGGAGTGCTAATCTTTCCCTGGCATGCATGTAGGGTAGGTGTTCATACAACAAACATTTTGCATTTGTGTGCCAGGATTTTGCCAGAGAGAATCATTTATTAGATAATGAGTGTTGGGATGTAGGCTTGGAATGTGGATACACAGAAAATGCAAAACTCCTTAGTGTAGCAAAACTCCTTGATAAGCTGACATTGAATATGTTAACTGAAGCTTGTCATTATGTTTGCTTCACGAAGCCTCAGCAACAATTCCCAGATAACTACAATGGGATTTACCTCACCTGCATATAAGAAGTTTCAGTTGCTATGCAGTAGTGTAATACAAGCCTCTAAAAGCTTTGTTAAACACTGAGAGCGCACTTCATCATCTGCCAGAAATGTTTAAAGGCATAGCATCTCACTAATAATTATTAAATCATTGAGTCATGCAAAGAGAGGTATTCCATCTTTACTTAATGATTGTAAAATACAGGTCATTTGCCAAGCATGCACCAGCATATTGGATAACTGGAATTCTGTTGAAGGGAATTATCAGAGCATCGTATGATGTGTCTCAGAAAGGGAAGGAAAAACAGACCTGGGGTAAAACAGTATTCAGCCATTGCAAACAGTGAAGTTTTGACACTTCTGATATCTTACTACGTTCTGAAGTAGGCAGGCATAAAGAAACAACATTAAGTTTTCATAATTTTAATTATGTTATTAGTTTCCTAAGAGTGACTCAATCATAATTCTGTTCCTCTTTAAGGGAGAACTTGATGCTTCACAAACAAATGTCTTTCTATTCTCCATTTATTTAAAATAACGCTTTGCTGGCAGCTCAGATTTGGGATGTGTACGGATTTTGTTCTCCATAGTGGGTGTAACATCCAGTTGTTTTCTGCATTGATGATCTAGCTGTTCTCTCATATTGTCTGATGTTGTAGAGCTATATATCAGTTGCTATGGGACTTATACTAGTGTCTGATTGACTTAAATATTTACCTGCAAAAATGAAAGCATTTGTGCTGTGCCATAGAATTAGTCACTTTTTTTTTTTTTTTTTTTTTTTTTTCTTGACAGAAGAAAATTGAGTAAGTCTGGCCCTGTAGGTGATGCTGAGAGAGACTGGGAGGTAAAATGAATTTGCCAGCCTGGTAGTGATGTTGAATATTTACTACTTTCAGGAAAATTAAACCTTGAAAAAAATGATTAACAAATGAATTGTAAATGATTTTTCATTACACAATTTCTAACGTTTTATCTTGCCATTAAACAGTGCAGTTTTAACAGGGATGTATAGATGTAATGGGCAGCAGTAGATCTGTGAAGCTCTCCTTTATTATTAATTTCTTTTTTTCAATTGGCTTTAAGATAGATTCTTTGATTCTCATCACATTTTCAAAACCACTTGTACATATGATTTTAAGTGCAGATGATTTGAAAACTCCCAGGATCCCTATCTGACTTCTGTGATTTTGCCTTTTTATATTGCAGTGAAGGTACTGAAGGAACAACTGATCCTACTTCAAAAATGTATCTTTACCTTGTTATATTGCATTTAAGGGGGGAAATGTTTACTATTTCAGCATCTAATTTTTTACTATTCTCTGATGGCTTTAGTGGTATAAGCAGTGGTATAAGCTCTAATATTTGAGAGAGACACTGATTAATGATTCTATAGTTCTAATAAGGAACGGGCTACTGAAGTGCAGTGAAAAACTGTGCAAAGATTAAGGTTTTTCTACACTGGTAGAATGGAAATAGACTTTTGGGTAAAATATTTTAGGAAACAAATTTAGTAAGAGACCAATTAGGGAAAAAAGTCCAATTACATGCATAAGTGCAGATATCTGGCTTTTCCTCTCAAAGATTTTTCCCCTGAAGTTATAAAGTAAGAGTAATTACTATTAACAAAATTTTCTGATCATTTATTCTACCTGGATTTTCAGGAGTACATTTTCAGATCATGGATTATATGTGCATATCTCATTATCGCTAACGAGAATTTCCAAGTGGCATATAATTTTACTGTGCTACTTAGTCTGACTTGTATTACATATGTCAGTCTGTGTTTCTACTGCTACTTCAATAGTATTTAAATATTAATATTTAAAGGTCAAACTTAGTTTGCAGTGATATTAGAATATGTTAAATTTCATCTGACTTGAGTAGAACTTTCTTGGGACAGTATTCACTAGAAAAGGAAAAAGG